GAGCTAAAAGTGGGTTCGAACTTAGGCTCAGAAGGCCATTGAATCAACATATAATTACTAGACTAAGACAAAATATTCGAATAATTATGAAAAGCAATTATATAGATTATAGATACGATTAAAAACGGCATAGGTTAGTTTTAACTGCAGTTAGTAATTCTGTCACCATCGTTAACAGTCGTTAACGCAGAGGTACGAATCTACCAAAATTTCAAAACCAAAGAATTTAAAAGAAAACAATAATTATCCGATGTATTTTTATTCCAATTTTAAAACTACACGTATTAAACGGTCAAATAAAAAATAAACGACAGTTTCTTCGGATTTTTTCTCCTTTTTAAAATACCAATAGTTAGAATTAGAAATATACCCAAAGTTTTTTCTATTGTAGATAAATAGACCAAAATAATTAAATTCAAAAGAAAGGAAGACAAATCATGTGAAAGATACGTATGAAAATTGACAACAGAAAAAATAAAAATAAAAGAATTTACGAAAGAAAAGAATCTGCTGAGAAACACGCAAGAAATCAGATGGTGGACCTCACAAACATTTAACTCTTTTTAACCCAACTTTGTTGTTTCGGTCTATCGACGTCATTCCTCTGGGTGTTTGACACGTTTACAATCTCCACAATCACACACGTGCCTCTCTCTGATTGTTTCACAACAGCTAAGCAAACCAATCAACCAAATTAGAAAGTGTAGAGGAAAAAAAATGGAAAGAAAAAGAGTATTGAACTAATCATTTATGGTATAGTTTGAATTGTAACATTTTTGTTACATGTAATTTACTATTTGTTTCATAGGAGAGACAACTTACACATTATTTTTTATATGTAATTTAATATTTGCATTCTAGGATAGACAATTTACCCATTTCACAGATAAAAACCGAAACTACACGTAAGAAATTCTAAAGTATTATTTTATTGTGTGACTTGCAATACAAAACAAGTTATCTTGGGTGGTTTGACAAAACATGTCCCGATTACAAAAACGGTCTTACTCGTATAAAAGTATAGGGTGATGCTCAATGTTTTGTGTTTTGTGGAGAACGAGAATAATCACGCGACCATCTTTTCTTTGTGTGCCCTTACACATATACAATTTGGCTCTCTCTTGCAGGTGCAATACTTGGTAATGCGACTAGTCCGGACTGGACGGATACGATTGGGTGCCTCATCACTGCCAAGTTCAGTGACATCTCATTCGTATAATATTAGGTGGTTATAATGTTTTGCTAGAGACCACTTATAATTTATGAGTCTAGAACTCATTGCTAATATTATACAAACCTACAAAGTCATATACCTAAGCAAATTGGATCAAACTATATTTGAGTTTAATTTTGATTAAACTAACATTAGATTTTTAAAATAAGATAAATAAAATAATATACTAAACACACATACATGTGAAAGTCACTTGGCCTATTGGTTGACTAAGCATTCATTAATGCTTCTACATCTAGAGGTCTGGGGTTTGAGTCGCAGATACTGCGTGTGTAATTAATCCAAATTGGATTTGGAATTATTTTCACGTAATGGGTCTAAACCCACATGTCTTTTACTAATTGGATTAGGTTTATTTGGTTTCATATAAAAAAAGGCAACGTGTGGGATGATGAGAAAGAGTTGTTGAATGCTGTAGAATATCTAGGTTTATTCAAAACCTATGATCTAGATTTTATTCTTTATTTGCACGGTTTCAGGTAATTGAATTCGTAATTAGTATTTATAAATCGTTATAAACCGGTAGGAATTCCTACATCCTCATCCGTATGTGCTTCCAAACTACGATCTATTACATATGGAGAGAGAGAAATACAAAGATCACCATCGGAATTGGACAGATTAGAGACACATGACACACCTTATTGACAAAGCTTTATTAAACATGATTTGTTTCCTTCATTACAAGGCTCTACACAAACTAGAATGTCTCCTTCCACGTTGGTTCGGTGTCCGAGCAATTTAGAGTTTAGCCCTCTCTTTTTTTAACATCTGCAGAGTTTAGCCCTTTATTTTGATTGTTTTCCTCGTACTTGTAATATCTTTTTAGTTGATTAGTAAATTTGAAATTTCAACAAAAAATAAAATAAAAGAAGATAGCGGACCTACAGACGAAATTCCAATGTAACCTAGGTTTCTTACATGTTAAGAAAAAAAGATTTAGGATATAACAAATACCTTGATAGAAAACAGAATTGTAATATTGAACGTATCAATGAGCCTCGTTGATTAAAAAGGCAATCTTTCAATAAATCATTTTCTTTTGTGATATATATATTTATGAAAACATTAAAGATATGTGCCGGGATAGAGTTCGATTTGTGAGGGATCTAGCCAAAGAGGTTTATCAAGCGTGGTGCTTAAGTGATGGCGGGACAGAGCAAAGTACACGGGTTGATAGGATGATTGGTTGGTTTCCTCCGTCGGTTGGCTGGGTCAAACTGAATACGGATGGTGCCTCACGCGGTAATCCAGGTTTGGCAACAGCGGGTGGAGTTATCAGGGATGGAGAGGGCCAATGGATTCAGGGATTCACCTTGAATATTGGTTTCTGCTCGGCACCGTTAGCGGAGCTATGGGGAGTATATTATGGGCTTTACTTAGCTTGGGACAAGCGGATTGCAAGGTTGGAGTTGGAAGTGGATTCGGAGACGGTGGTAGGGTTCCTAACGACGGGGATAAGTGATACTCATCCTTTGTCCTTCCTAGTACGACTGTGCTATGGCTTTCTTCAAAAGGACTGGTTAGTCCGTATATCACATGTGTATAGGGAGGCTAATCATCTTGCTGATGGGTTAGCGAACTATGCATTTGATCGACCTTTGGGCTTACAGCTGTTGGACTCATGCCCGGAGAGTGTTTCTTCTTTTTTGTTAGACGATGCTCGTGGGTCTTCCTGGCCGCGGAGTGTTCGATTGTAATTTCTTTTTTCTTATGTTTTTAATAAATTAGGGGAGGCATTGCCTCCCCCATTCCTACCAAAAAAAAAAAAAAGATGAGTTTGGTGAACATAGCGGATCATTTTATTTGTTATATCCTTCTTTTTCTTTGCACATAGAGGAAGAAATAGTGTCATGATACAGTGGTTAAGTTAACCAATCTGGTAAAAGAGTACAATTTGAATCAAAAGAAAACTCTAAAGGAGTAAAGGACCCTTTCTTTCCTATGACATGTGCTTGTACATTGAAGCTTCTTTTAACATGAATAAATCGATGTTGTTTTAAACTTTGACTTACGCCCAAAAATTGATATCGTTGCATAAGTTGTTTATGTCCACTTGTGACCCGTTAGGTATATGTTAACAAGAATTTGGCAGTTCCTCTCGAAAATCACTAATTAGTATCCCATGAATTTGATACTTTCTATGGTCCTTAGCAATAGCTATGCCTTCTGCTTTCAAAGGTGATGATGCATATGGAAGTTTCGCTATGCCTTAACATTTTGTTCGAGCTTGATGATCTCGTACAATTCATTGAACAACTACCTCTTTTGTTCGTGAATAGTATGTGACATTGTAATTACATTTGTTTTTTTTTTTGTATGAATATAAAAATTTATTCAAACAAAAAACCATGTTACAATCCTTTTGCATAATGTTTTTGAATTTGAATAGAAAAAAAGAGTGTTGATTGAGGAAACAGAGCAAGCTAAGGAGAGGTGTTGGGGTCGGATTTCACCCGTACTATGGCCGAGGCAAACCATAACACTTCGGGTACATTGACAGCCAGCTCGGGCCATCTTCCAAATCGGCTCGTGAGACAGTGTGTTGATTTGGCTCGGGAACACTGACCAAATCGCCTCGGGGGACATCGGTTAGATTAGCTCGGGGTGCGACGGCTCGGGATGGCAATAACGTTTCACTTTAATCCGAGCCGAATGAACATGCTGCCCCGAGGCAGTATTAACAAAACCCGCGGCAAAGCCTCACTCTTCCCCGAGGTGAAATGTTAGTGCTACCCGAGGCGAAACGTATGTTGTACCCGAGGAGGAATGCACCAAGACATCCCGAAGCAAAGACTTAGAGGAATATTCACCCTCGAAGTACCATTTCCAAGCAAGGCATCATTTCCGAAAAAGAAGGGTCATTTCCGATAAACCCGGGAATGATAAGGAAGAATCTCAAAGGATCGACTCAAATCAGGATATCTTCCAAAAACTCCGAAGAATAAGGAAATTATCCTGATCCGCGATATTCTACACCGACTTCAAGATAAATGGAAATCTTCCGAGAATATCGCTGGAGAGGCGGTTTACCACCCCTATATAAAGAGATTCAAGGCTCAAGCAAAGGAGAGGCAATATCGCTCTAGAATTTACACTACGCAAAGCTCTCACAGCACAAACATCTTTTTCCTTTTACGATCAAACTCTTGTACGATCAAAGTCATCTTTTTCTTAATAATATCAAGAACACCATCTTTGGTTACAATCGTTTCTGTTGTTCTTTGAGAATTCACGATTATCGTATCCCTAAAATAAAACCCTAGACAAATCTCGATTGTGTTAGTTTCGACTTCCACAAGAGGTCTTCATGTCCGTGAGTGAAACCAGACCCGAAGCCCGTCTTCTAATGGAGGTGATCCTGTTACGGACTGCGTGATCAAGGAAAGAAATGAGCTGGTCCGACGTTTGTGGGATTTCTCCATGCCTTCTTCTATTGCATTCTCACCACAAGACGTGTATTGATGCTTGGAAGACATATCGAATAATGAACAGGGCTGAACCTGTGAAAGATGAATCTGAGGTGATGGAGAGGATTTCACTGAAGTAAGTTGTGTAGTGATGGAGGAGGAGCTTGCGGAGTAACGCCTCCCACACCCGAGATGAGAAACTACATTCGAAGAACAGGCGAAATTATATATGAGCTATTCGACTTGCAGGTTTCTGTATACGTTTTTATCTTTCTCCAAACATCGATGTGTTTGGGGTTTTATGAGTTCTGAATATTGTTGTGTCAAGTTAAGCCCCAATAATGATTTATGATTATAACGTTATACATAAGCTTTAAGCCTCAATATACGTTGTTGCTTTCTAAGATTTCTCTGCTTTTCCGAATGATTTAGCAACGAACAAATCTCCTCTTTATGAAAATAAAGGATCAATATTAAGAGTTTGATGGCACCTTAAGTATTAGCTCTATTTGATCATTCTCTTCACTTCCTCCATCTTCAAAGTCAAGTGAGAAAGAATAAGCCACCTAAAAGACATTACGTTTTCATTGAAACTAACGTGCTTCAAAAAATCCTACCAAGTCCCTGTCTACCTAACGAAAACTACTTGCAAAATGTGGAAACTTCCGATATCTCTCTAGCTACCTAAGTCTGATGAGGGCTCTAATTTAGAAAACATCATCTAACCTTAAAGGAGCTGCCACGTCCAACACTTTTTCCTTCAAGTCTTTCATCTCTTCCTCGATTTCTCGCATTCGAGTCTCATAAGCTTCTTCGCTCTCCTTCTTTTTTAACACCTCATTCAGTTTATTCTCCAACCAATCCAACTTAAATCCAGCCTCTTTCATGGATCTTAGTAAACCATATGCACCAGCCAGATCATCCTTTGATATTTCTCGAGGCGGCTGGCCCAAAGTCTCAATCAAACTGAGTAGAACATTCATGTAAGCTGTCTTGACAACCGGGTTCTTCGGAAAAAACTCTAATGCAATGTCTGGATGTTTTTCAAAAATACGCTTCACAAATTCCACCTGCAAGTAAAAAAAAAGGATCCACAAAACTCAATAAACACTACAATAAAGTCTTGAAATTTCAAAAAAAGTTTGTATCTTTTTTTACCTGTGAAGGAAGAACTTGAAACCCATTAACAACAATGCTTTACATTATTACTGGAACCTCCCTAATCAAATCTTTAGACACTTCACCATCATCATTTAGCTTTGTCTTTTTAAAAGGCTGGTTTGATTCTTTAGATACCACTAATTTGTCAAAAATTTCAAGAAACTGAACAACAATCTTGATTTCTCCATCCACCAAAAATCCAGCATGATCATCATTAAGTTTACCAATGGAAAACATGGTTTCACAACTGAAAACCGAACTCCTTTGATCAAACATGGTTTCTGTTAAAAAAAAACACAAAAGACATAACTCAAAACTCGTAATAAGATAAAACTTTATAAAATATGAGAGTGTAGAAAAAGAATCAAACCTATACGTTGAGAGAGCATTTCAGAAATTTGATTGATTAGAGTAAATGAAACTTTAGCGTATCTACTCCATCCAACACTCATTTTTTGAGCAGAATCTTCAGTAACAATCAGAGTTAAAGATAAAGAGTCTTTAAAGTTATTGTCTCTGGAAAGTGCCACAACACGCCTACAAGCAAAAGAAAAAAAAACATTACAAAAACAATGGATGCTTCAAATAAATTAAACCATTACACAACAAGTTGTTGTTCTCACCAGCTGCAACCACCGATCACAAAATAATTCGAAAAAAGCAGATCTGACGTCAAAGAAGAGACTTTATTAATCACCCAAGTGAACTTGTTATCGACTAAACTTCCCATTGAAGAACAGTGAAGACAACTCAAACCCTAGAAACCAAATTCTCAAAATTAAACCTTGCTTTTCGTTTGCCAAAAAATAAAAACAAAAGAGAACCTTTTCGCGTTCTCCGTAAGGGTTTTGTTTGTTGTTCTTTACTTCTGTATGTCGGCCCATACACTATTTTGGGCCATTCTACCATTTTCGGCCCAATATATATTTGTTAATATAGATTTGAACTTAAGGTGATGAGTAATATGTTAAAATGTTTCATCTTATCTTAAGAGGTTGTTTGTCCAAAAAAAAAAAAAAAAAAAAAAAAAATCTTAAGAGGTTGTTAGGTGTTTGTGTCTTTGGGTTTACAAATTATAAATGTATGTTAAGCAATTTTATTCATCTAGAGGTAGTCTCTTAACATTATAAATGATGTACATTATATTTTGTACATAAATTTTATTATGTTAAAATATTAACATTAAATCTTTGTAAAAAATAGAGATAAATTAGAGGTTTAATTTCTAGAGAAAATGGAAATCTTGGAAAATAAATGCAAAATACTTTTGGACTAAAAAAAGGAAATGAACAAAAATTTCTGAAATATAAAGATTTTGAAAAAATAAATTAGAGGTTAAAAATCAAATAATCCAAGGGAGAGCTAATTTCAGGTTGTTATGAACGTTCAATCTCGAGTAGCTAAAATATTTAATTCAAATTATTTTGGGTGGTAACGGAATAATAGATATTTCCTAGACCCACCTTGTTGCGGTGCATTTGAACAAAACATGATAAAATGTTTTGTGGGTATATTACACATTTGACAAACTATTCTTAAAGATTTAAACCCAAGAAAATGATAATTATACTGCCAAAATTTAAATCTGCAGCTAGGGCGAATTATCACTTAGCAGCTGTTAATGTCATCACAAGAAAACACGACATTTGCGACCCCCATATTGGTTGCAAAACGGTCGCAAAATAGGGTTTTGCGACTCTTTCACGACTAACTAAGATAGTCGCTAAAAAACGGTCGCAAAATTTTCCAGTCCCAAGATAGTCGCTAATTTGCGACTCTTTTCCAACATAAATTGTAGCGTCGCATATTAACGACTAATCTGTGACGGGTTAATGTCGTCGTATATTTCCGACTAAAGAGCGACTAACGTAAGTTAGCAACTAGTTTGCGACTTGTTCGGTTCAAACGAAAGAGTTCTTGGATTGAATATTTAGTCCCACATTAGTCGCAGACGATATATCTTTTAGTACCAATTTAGTCGCAAAAGAGTCTTAATTGGTTGCGACCAATTTAAGACTCTCATTGTTGTGTAGCAAAAGAGTCTTCTATTAGTAACCATTTTGATACTAGATTTGGAGTTTCTTGTAATAATGTGTAGTCACACATTGGTCACATTTGTTAATTAGTTTGGTCACATATTGGTTACACGTTAATAATCCCAAACCTGCAAATTCGCTTTCAAATGCAAATAATCCCAAACCTGCAATACTTCATTCAAATGCAAATAATCCATCATTCAAAAACACTAATAAAAACCATCGTCCTAACAAAGTATTATAGAGTACAAAAACATAAGCAAATAAAAGACTAGTTCATAGGGTTTGAATTAGTGTTAGATAAAGGAGAGGCTGGTGTGGTTTCAGTAGGTGCGAGTCCAACTGGTTGGATTGCTTCTTCTGTGGTTGTTGGAAGGGTGCCTGTTTGTGTGCTGGGTGGTATGATGACTGCGGAACAAGTTTACATAATATCATACCAAGTCTTATACTAATATCGTAAGTGATGCCTAAGTCTAAAAAAAAAATAAAACTAATATAGATAGAGTCAAATTTCTTGAAGTGAGCTAGCTTAAAAGAGTAAAAGCAATCAACTTTCAGTGGTGAAGGAAAGTGACGAACTTCTTGAAGCCTTACTAGCAGCGTTCTCTTGTTCCTCTGCCAATGTTCAAGTTGATTAAGGTCTCCAAGAACTGCATCAGTTATGGTTGGAGAGATGAGATGATTAAGGTCTCCAACTGTACAAAACAAAAAAGCTTATTACCAAAGTGAAGACAATCAAGAGCTGATCAAGCAATACATTAAAACTGTTGAATAATCTTAGTCATTTAAGAGACAGAACCATTCATGAAGCATACAATATTAGACCTCTTTAGGAAGAAATTTTTATATTAATTCCGTGTGACATGTGTGTTCCTTATACAATGCATATCTAGTGAAGTCACAATCTCTTTCAGCTAAATAACTTTGAGCTGATTCTAATTCCTAACTTTTACGAATGCATAAAAACAAAAGAACTTACTTTTGTATATCCTGACACAACCCAATGAACATCTGCAGGCCAACCACATAACCAAGTAAGAAACCATGACTTAGTGCATCTTTTGTTAATTAAGTAAACAAACTACTGGAAGGTCCAAAGTCACTAATTATTAAAAGGAAACTTGCTTTAGCCTTCTGGACCATCCTTCCTTTGGCCTCGATGTTAACACACCCATGTTTTAAACACATAACAAAGATGACCCAAATTCTTGAAATTATGATTTGACGAGTAGATAAACGTTGATGATAAGAAAAGAGATTTTACTTACTCTTCTCTGTTGCCAGTCCATTGTTCTTCAAGATTTCAGAGATTGTCACCATAGTATAGTTGTGATTGCTGAATTCACTGAAGATTAGGTTATACATGTTTAAGTGATGGTAAGAGTCTTTAGATGAAACTGAATCAACCATATTCAGCTCATAATATCTAGTTACTTGCTCCAAAACTATACCTATGATGGCAACATAAAAATTGAAATGAACCAGATTTAGCTCTAGTTCATGCTCCGGATTCACATTTATATCAACCTCTCTAAGATTTCATCAGCCGTAACAATACATACTCAAAATACGTTCTCATTGGATCAAAACCAGAAATAAAATGCATACTTAAAGGATTCAATTTTAAGAGTTGAAAGAAGATTAATTACCCCATTGGCAATAACGACCCCGGTGACCACAGGGACAAGAGAGAAGTAAGTCTACCAAGCCTCTCTCTTAAGCCTCATCCGGTAAGCAAACACGGCGGTGAAAAACGGCGTCCAAGCACCAATCGCTTGGTTAAACGAAACAGGAAGAAAGAAAAGAGAGATGTTTCCAAAGACCACCGACATACAAAAAACGAGACTTAGATCTGAGATCTTAAAGAACTGAACTCGGGATCGAATCGTCTATATCGGCACCATCTTCAACCAAGCAATGGAGACGTAGATGAGTATCGAACAAGCCGTCATGTGACACTTTTGGAACGATTCGGCTCCTGAGGCGGCGGTTGATGCTCCGGATTTGGAGGAGGCGGCGGTTGATGATGGGGATTCTGGTACATTGGTTGTGAAGCTTGAGCCGCTGGTTGTGGCTGACGGAGAGGTCGTTGTTGAGACGATGAGAATGAAGCGAAAGAGAAGAAGAGAAGGAATCGATTCAGGGAGAGAGAGATTGAAACCCTAGATCGAGAGAGAAGAAGAAGAATCGCAGAGTTAGAGAGAAAAAACCCTAGATCGAGAGAGAATGAAGAAAGTGAAAAGTCGAGTGTGTGTTTTGCCTAGTAATTAAGGAAAAGGAGTCGCTCTTTAGTCGCAAAACGATCGCAACATCGATTATTTGGGGGATTATTTGGGGGGAAAATTAAGCGCCCGAATACTTAGGGAAAATTTCATA